ACTCCTTTTTTAATCCCCCAAAATCCTAAACAGTCTCAATTATCAAGCCGTTTTGATTTTCTGAGCAGTATGATGTCATATTGTTCAGGCCCCGCCCACAACTGCTAATGTACTGTCCAATATTAGCATTTGCCCAGTTGTACAAGGTCCATCATTTTCTCCAGCTCCAGCAGCTGTAGCGACAATGTCTTGTAAGCAATGCAGGTGTTTTGTAGTTTTGTGATGTAGAAGAACATAAGAATCTTAATTTTCTCCGGACATCAGAGCCACTGAGGACGCAGTGCATTAGTAGGGCTGTCGCCGTGAGGGAATTTCCCTTGGTAATTTTGAGTGGCTCAATAGCGCCGTATTTAGCCTAGTTGTAATCTGATCTTCTAATCTGACTGGACAAGAGACTTTGTATTGATATTTCCACCTGCGCGCGTTCTAGACGAGCTGTCAGTCAGTGCAGTTGCAGTGTTGCGCCACAGGGTGGTGGAACGTGACTGTCATTCAACTACACGTTCAAAAACGCTGATTCATTCATTCAAAGAGACGTAATGAAACACGCTGTTGAAATCATTTTAACTTTGAGCGCCACTTTAGAAGGCTCAGCTGACCAGCTATGCGTCGATGCTAAGACAGAGATTTCACTTTCCTTGAACATGACAACCTATTTTCACAAATATATATGACTCGACCTGGAGGACAGATGCAAGTAATCGCACGCGCTCAGTCGATCTCTCTCTCAATTCACTGTCTGTTTAGGCTTGTTAAGTGCAAATCTACGGAGCCTCTGCACAAATCAGCATGGTACACATTATAATATCATTACTAACTTGTTTAATATTCAGTCCACATGCATGAAGTGTAAAACGAGAAGGGCATAACCTTACGAAAAAATAAAACACGCAAAAATCACGGTTGCTGCGGTCAAAGAATATCGTTTACATGTAGCGCGCATAGGTAGCGCGTCAATTCTCTCTCTCCCTCTCTCGCTGCGTGTGTGTGTGTGAAACAAAGCGACTGCGAGTCGGGCGCCTTCACACTAGAGTTCACGCAAAAATCGCGGTTGCTGCGGTTCTTGCATTCCTCTGCGGTTTGCTCGTCAATAGTGCGGTATTGCGATATTGCGGTTATCGCGACAGCCCTATGCATTAGTTTTGTTTTTAATGGTAATGCGCCACTGAATACACCGAAATTAGTTTATGTCTGCGCAAATCATTTTACTCCAAACTGCTTTCTGAATGAGGGACAATTCAAGGCAGGTTTTGTTAAAAAGTTAAAACTCAAGGATAGATCAGTACCCATTGTTCGTGATCCAGCTGACCGTTTTTGAAATCAAATCTTTACATAGCTATGACAGTAAACACGTACGTAAAGATTTGATTTCAAAAACGTTATCATAGCTAATAAAATATTGACAATGCCTTGGGAAAAAAACAGTTAATCTTTAAAAAATTAAGCATAGCTATACATAAACCCATATAGGAAATAAAAGAGTTATCGAATAAGCATGTTCTAAACTCCTGAAACAGTGGTGTTTCATATTTTAGAGCAGTCACTGCAATTTATGAAAGAAATCAATTAAATCTGTATGTGGGTGTGCGTGTGAAAAAAAAGCAGATGTAACCCCTTTTGTAATCCTTAACATTTTCATAAGTAACTGTAATTTAATTACACATTTTTTCTCAGTAACTGTAACTGTAACTGATTACAATTACTTTTATTTTGTAATTAAATTACGTAATTCCGTTGCATGTAACTAGTTACTCTCCAACACTGCGTATAACTGTATATATTAGCATTATATCAGCCACCCTGCACATAACATATGCTTTGAATCAGGCCTGTTTTAACAGTGCCTAAGCCCACTTTAAACTTTAAGAAAACAATTAATAGGAAACATTCCACAGACTCTGATGAAGAGACAAACTTCGCCCACACTAGTCATATCAGTGTCATCATCAGCATTATGTAACCAGTGATTGCAAAAACAATTCATTTAGCTGCGCAGCCTCATCCGTGCCATGGTATGTTCTCATCTCTACCCATCTGGAAGAAGGTGGTTCAGGAGCATTCATGCCAAAACCACAGGCTGAAAAAAAGTTCCTTCCTGTAAGCTGTCAGCCTACTCAATAACTGTCCGGCAAGCTTCTAATGGATGGTATTCTGCCTCTCAGTGCTCTAACAGTACTTCAGACAAATCACCCAAAGCTATTAATTTCTCTTCAATCACACAACCACTGCTAATCTGCAGACACTTTACATTACAATTTGTCTCTTGTATTTTTATTTATCACTTCATGCTCTTTAATGCATTATTTACTGACATCCTGCAGCGGTTGTCATGAGTTTTTTTTTTCTGTTTTGTGTTATGCAGTAGTTCTGGAAGTAAGTAGTCATTTAGCAGATGCTTTTATTCAAAGCAACGATTCCCTTGCAGCAACCTTGTTTTAAGTAACCGACCTTAGGGCACTGTGATGATGATTTTTATGAATATGTAGTTGTAAGTGTCCTTTATTTGATCATGATTATTTTATATATGTATATAGTTTCAGACTAAATCTGAAAATGATTCCTGACCGTATCAAATTAAAAACTGACCTCATCATCAGAAGGTGGAATATTCTGATCAGAGTTTGTGATCATAAATTCTTATTATACTGAAACAGTCATTCATCTTTTTGTTTTTATTAAAACGCCTGTAATTAGTCATTTAAGTAAAGGCTTGATTTATAATGAAGGCATTAAGATGATGCTCATGAAATGCTTGTGCCTGCTTTGCCCTTTATCTGTCAGAAATGGAGAGAAAGTATTTGATGTTTGTGTGAAGGCGCATGTCTTTCCTCCTGAAATATGTCTCCCCAGGGTCTTACCTCCACCAATTATATGACAGTCTCAGTCAGATCACATGATGCCCTCAAATTCTTCTGCTGTTCTGCAGGAAGATGGAAAGACTTGTTTTAATCCCGGTTTGTCAGGGATTGCACATCATTAATAAGTGGAATCAGGACCTCATGGAAGTAATTTTCCTAGTTACATTTGCTCACATTTTCAACTTTTATTTTACATCTCACATGTTAAAAACTTGATCTAGGATTTTCCATGTTCTGTTGCCAGATCCTGGTAAAAGTGTCCAAAATGCTTTTCGGAGCCACATCATATTTACCTTTAAATAACACTGATTTACTATATTTTACATTGTTACAGAACTTCTTAACATTTTTGACAGCATGCTTACTTATGGAAATTTATGTTTGGGCATTGCTTGATGATGTCCAGAAAGTCTCCCAGGGTCTCAGTCAACTTTCTGTCTCTGTTTTGTTTTCAAAGTAGAGAAGGTCCTGTTTGCTTTTGGATTGATCCCATTTCCCTGCTTTAGAACTACTCTGTTTGGAAACACAGCTGTGTTTCTCTCTGGCCTTTCTTCAGGCTCTTTTTTCTGTCTCATTCTTTTGCTCTGATTTTCTTTCTCTCTGATGTTGTGGTTGTAACCTTGCATTCCCCCCTGCAGGAATGAGAGGGTGTACGAGAGAGATAGATAAAGCGAGAGAAAAGCAGAATGGAAGTATGAAAAGAAACCAGACTGGTGTTTGGGAACGCTGCTGGGTTTGGCTCTTCTGCCTTCTACTTGACTATCATACTAGCCATCTCTTTTCCCTTTCCTTCTCTCACTAAACAACATATACCTAGTCAAATACCAATATATGTGTTATTCTTACTGAAATGTGAGTATCCTGTGGATAAGAAAATAATCAACAGTACAAAAACAAAACAAACATTGCAAAATATGAGATTAAACTCACTGACACCAGTAAATGAAGTTTGACACTTCACGAACAGCTTGTAACACTCCAAAGAGAAAGGAAAACTTGAAATTGCATCGTATGACTCCTTTAACTGGTTAAACCAATAAAAATGGATGGAATAATTACAACGGGAAAAACTCACCCACTCAGATATCATCACTTTCAGTCATGTTAAAATCAAAAGTACTGTAAATAGTTATCTGTGAGAATTTATTTATTACTATATCTTATTGACACTTAACACACTTTTTGAGATTTTGATGTGACATTGCTTTAATGTATTTATTCAGCAAGGATACATTGAATTGGTCATAAGTGCAAGTGGAGACATTTATAATGTTACAAAGGAATATAAAGTTATTTAGAATGCAGCCTTGGTGAGCATAAGAGCATAAGGTGAGCATCTTTAAAAAAAATCTTATTCACCCCATAATCTTGAATGGAGCATGTGTATATATGTAGAAGACATATATTCAGAAGACCACCACAAGCCACTGAAGGGTGCAGTTATGATGAAACTGGGATAAATGTGTTTGCTCACACAAAAGAGAAATATTGCCATTGTCTGTATTTTCTCATGGCAGTTTCTGTTGGGCTTTTTTTGTTTTGTTTTTGTAAATTACTATCTATTTGCAGTCAGACATATGTGTTCCAAAACCAAAGCATGCAGAGATAAAAACAGATGAAAAGCTCAATTTGCAGACCATATTATACCATAGAGAGCAGCCATTATGAAAGCCACACATACAGAATATGATAACATGAAACTGCAGATTTCCCTCAAACAATTACTTTTCATCTGTAAATAAATCACTGTTTTACAACTGAGGCAAGTCAAAGCACATAAAACGTTTTGTGGGATTGTTTGAATAGGATTTGTGCTTTGCTTGTGTTGGATAAGAACTACTTGTTTTTGGTGAAAGAGAATCAAAAGGGGTTTGCTTCTTCTACTGCAGTAATACTATACTATGAGAATCTGTGAGACAAAAACCGTTTTGGTCACATGACATTGAGAGTTTGATGGAAATTGTCTCTGTTGGATCAGTCATTTGGTTTAATGGTGGGTAAAATCATTAAAAACCTCTGTAAATGTCTAGGCTGGAATCAAACATTAATGATCTTTCCATATTTACGATTTCAGGATTATGAAATTTCTCAACTACAATATCAGGCTAATAACTTTTCTCTCTCTTTATCTTTCTGCAACAGCACAGACAGATGAATCAGATACTTTTGCGTTTTTCCACGAGGGAGCGCAGGGCTGCCTGGGGGTACGAGATCACATGCTCTACCTCTCTTCTTCCTGCAAGGGTGACGCCCAGCTGTGGAAATGGGTGACCAGGGGGCGGCTTTTCAACATTGGCTCCTCCCTCTGCCTGGGCATCACCACGGGCAACGTGAGCACATCTGGCAACAAGTCACCACTGGGCGTGTTTCGGTGCGACTACGAGCCTCCGCGAGTGCGCTGGACCTGGAGCTGCAGCAAGTTCTTGGAGACGCTTGAATCTTCCTTGCCCTCCCCTAAATTACTCCTCGACACTGGCAATGTCTCGGCCGCTGCCTCCCCACCTGCAAGATCCCCCTCCCAAAAGTCTCTGTGGCGAGTCTATGATGACAATCAAGACCTTTGTGCCAAGTCGTACCGAGGTCAGCACATTAAATGTTGTTATTTCTTTCTCTCTTTCTCATATCTTAAACAGTAATTTGCTTGTCCACACTAAAAGGAATTGCATCCAGTCAGTGTTTATTTGATGTTTAATATACATTGCCTTTCAAAAGTTTAGGGTGGTAAGATTTTTTAATGTTTTTGAAAAAGAAGTCTCGTATGCTCACCAAAGCTGCATTTATTTTATCAAAATACAGCAAAAACTGTAATATTGTGAAATATTACTATTTAAAATATTTTTTTTCTATTTTAATATCTTTACAATATATTTTGAATTGTAATTTATTCCTGCGATTTTTCAGCATCATTACTCCAGTCTTCAGTGTCACATGATCTTTCAGAAATCATTCTAATATGCTGATTTGATGTTCAAGAAACCTTTCGTATTATTATCAATGTTGAAAACAGTTTTGCTGTTTAATGTTTCTGTGGAAACCATGATGCATTCATTTTAGGATTATATGATGACTAGAAAGTTCAAAAGCGCTTCATTTATTTGAAATAGAAATATTTAGTAAAATTATAAATGTCTTTACTGTCACTTTTGATCAATATAATGAGTCCTTTCTGAATAAAAGCATTAATTTCTTTAAAAAAAATTTCAATGGTAGAGTACAGCTATATGGAGCAGAATTTTGGACCAATAAGATTGCATTGCGGGTGGGGCAAAGAAACCAAGCAATCAACAAAATGTCCCGTCACTTGTTTTTAATTGCTTGTCACTGTCACACATTTTTATGATGCAGTGTTATAGAAAATATAGAAATTAAAGATTGTGGAAAAAAGAAATGAGGATTGAGAGAGGATTGATAAAAAAGAAAAAGAAACAAAGGGCAAGGAATGTCTTTTGGACCTCAGTGATATTTAGACTAGGATTTTCCGCGTGTGGATGTTTTTGCCATGGGCAACTCTAAATTTGTCCTGATTGGATAGTGACCAAAAAAGAAGCCAATTAAAAAGTCTGGCCAGTGTTTGTGTACAGTGCTGAGGCCCAGTCGTCTCTCAGTCTGAGTCCCATCAGACAATCTGTCTCATAGTGACTAATTTAGATGTGAAATCACAGTCATTCATTACTCTACAGTATTTAAATTGGGTTTAGTTGGTTCACAATGACTGAGGATTTTTTTGTAATCTTCCGGAAGTTTCTTTCTTGTCTTAAAAGTTGTCCAAGTCCTCTCAGAAGGCAAAAAAAAAAAATAATGTAAATACTAGATTTAATAAATTTTTAGGTCATAACATTACTGATGGACACTGTGGTTTTAGTTACAACTGAATTTAGTTACAATAAAATTATATTTTAGTTAAAACTATTATTATATTAAGTGTTATACACATTCTGAACAGAATTTAGTGCTACTTGAAATTACTGTATTGAAATATTTTACTGAAAATGATTTTTTAATTGCATTTTTGTTTAGTATATTTAGTTATTGGGGGTTTAAAAAGAACTTGCAGAAACTGTCAATGGATTCGTTAAGGACCCAGAATCATTATTAAGTGTAATGGCAACTGAACTGAAACGGAACTGTTAAACTCTTTCAGAAGCAGACACTCCACAGCACATATCCCTCCCCTCTCTTTCCTCTCACCTCTGTGTTTCGTGGTCTCTGTGAGAGTCGCTTCTGGAGTGTTCCTGACAGAAAGTTGCCACTGATATGTGCCAACACAGAGCTGTTTTTATGCTTGAGTGTGTGTGTGTGTGTGTGTGTGTTTGCAAGAATGAAACTGCGTAAGTTCTGAAAGTTCAGTTGAGAGTGTTTTTGGAAGTGCGTCTGTGTCCTACTTTACCTCAGCTCTGAACAACAGCAGCGGTAGAACTGTAACGCAACTGCACACCCTCTCTCCAGTCTGACATGTGCTCTCTGTTTTTCCTATATAGTTTTCTATCTTTCTGTCTTAGTATAACTCATCCCCCCCCCCTCACGTTTTCTCTCTTTGTAGACTGAGAGCTAATCTGTACAGTCAGACAGAATGCCCAGGGGTTTCTATAGTAACAGCTGCATTCCAACTGAGGGGCAATTGAGAGGAAGAAAGTGTGAAAATGCAAAGAGGGAAGGAGAGAGGAGGGGTAAGAGAGTTCAGCAAGGGAGGCGGAAGTTTCACATAGACATGAACTGACTATCAAGTATCATATATTTCACTGCATCTATCTATCTATCTATCTATCTATCTGTCTATCTGTCTGTCTGTCTGTCTGTATACTATTGTTCATTCTATTTATCTATTTTTCTATGTATGTCTGTCTCTTCTATCCTTCTATCCATCTGTCTATCATCTGTCATTGTATAGTCAGTGAAAAATGTGTTTAATGACTACATCCGTGTTTTTTCTTGAGTAGCATGACAATGCACAATTGTGGTGGTTTCAGAATCTATTTTAACACAGTTATGTCCGGCCACACAGTCTGACCAAATGAAAAGCTGTTTTCACCCATAACTGCCAGGTAGCATTTATGTAGTTACTTCGAGGATAACTGCTTTATGGTGGAATGGACTATTGATACTAAAACTCGCATAAAAGCAGTAGACAGCAATAATGTTCTTCATGATAAAACACGCCCTCTCCTCTCCTACATTTACATTCTTTAATTTGGCGGATGTTTGTATCGACATTCAAGCGACAGTGCCCTCCATAAGTATTGGAACAGTAATGACAAAACTGCTGTGTCTCCTGTGGAGTCAAGACATCTGCAAATATGATTAAAAGATGAATATGAGACCAAACTACAGAATGTCACATTTTTGTTATTGGGTGATTCAACATATAGATGTTTTACCAACTAAGAAGATCAGCACTTTTAAAGTTTCATCCCCTATGTGATGTGAGCAGAAGTATTGGGACAGTTGACTCACAGGTGTTTCAAGTGATCAGCTGTGTCCTGTTGCATTAATTGTTCAGATATTAAAAGCAGGGAATGTGTTGTATCAGTTATATCCATTGCTTCTGCTTTCCGAGTCTTGCATTTGATGACGACACACACAAACCAGGATGAAGACGAGGGAGCTGAAAGAGGAACTCAATTAGAGCTGCTGTATGTCAAAAACAATGGGCATGGAGAAATCAACAGTTTGGAATGTCCTGAAAAAGAAAGAAACCACCGGCGACTACCAGCAACCAACAACGACCTGGTCGGCTGAGAAAAACAACAGCCGTTGATGACAGACAAATCATAAAAGCTGTGAAAAAGAACCCTAAAATAAGTGTCTGTAAAATCACCATCAACCTCCAGAAAGCTGGAGTGATGGTCTGACAAACTACTGTCCGCAGGAGACTTCCACAGCATTAGCTACACAGCAAGATGCAAACCTCTGATCAGCAGCAAACATAGAAACCCTTACCAAAAAGTAGTATACTTCAAGTTTATTTTAGTAAGTATACTTAAGTAAAGTTCAAGTATATTTTTAAGTATACTTCATGTAGTAAGTATACAAATATCAGTGTACTAGTAGTATACTTGTAAGTGTACTATTTCAATACTCCTTGGGACTAAATTGGCCCACTTTCTAGTATATAAAAGTATACTTTTAAGTATACTTTAAGTATAACAGTAGTAAACTTTGAGTACACAACTAGTTTACATCAAAATGTTTAGTTTGTACTGCAACTATACTAAAAGTGAATTTACAGGTATACTGATATACTGTTTACTAATTAAATACTTGTAGTAGTAGCATTTTTAGTACACTTTGAAGTATAGTCTCAGTAAACTACTAGTTTAGTAGTTTTATACTACAAGTATACTCGTAAGTTTTCTTTAAGTGAACTTTACATCATACTTTAAGTATACTACTATGTCCCTATTTAGGTATTAATTTGTATATATTTTGTTACATGAATATCTGAACATACAAAACATCAAAAGAACAGGGTATCTGCTTGTAAACAAAAAAAATTATTCTAGCTTCATGCATTATTTTTTAAACACTTGAATGTGGATAAGTTTCATAAATAAAAAATAAAGAAATAAACAACATTTTGAACAAAAAGCTGAAAAAAGACTATGAATAGGCTTCCGAATGATAATCAAAACGTAGATAACGTCGATCAACACCCCAAAGCTTGACAGTTATTATTACCTCTTCATTGGTCGACATTACATCAACTTTACACAGTTTTGATGCTGTTTTATGTCTGATGATCGTGTTAGAATACATGTGGAAGCATCTGTTGTTTCGGTTTCTTCTTCACTTGTGTTTTTTGGAAATTCTGTACAGAAGATGTGTACTAGCGCCCCCTACAGTATAACAATGAAAACACGGATTCTAGGAGCACAATTATAGCTAAAATATATTTAGACTTTTTCTAAGTATAAGTCAAGTATACTTAAATGTCATTTTAAGTATATTTCTGAGAAGTACATAAAAAGTAGACTAAAAGTATACTTTCCTATTTTTACTATTTTTAAAGAAGTATACTAATAGCACACTTGAATAAACTTCTTTTTCGTAAGGGAAGGCAAGATTAGAGTTTGCAAAAAAGCACAAAGGTGAGCCAATAGAATTTTGGAACAGTTTTATGGACATTAAGTGATGGGAAAGCAAAAGTGTGTAAAAAAAAGGTACTGCAAATGATCCTACAACCTCATCTGTGAAGCATGGTGGAGGTGGTGTCATGGCGTGGTCATGCATGGCTACCTCTGGAACAGGCTCTCTCAAATTTATTAATGACTTAATGAATGATGGTGATAGCAGAATGAATGCAGAAGTGTACAAAAACATCTTGGCTACCAATGTTCAAGAAAATGCCACAAGACTCATCAGAAAGTGCTTCATATTGCAATAGGACAATTACCCAAAACACCCTGCTAGCTCAGTGACATTCTGTAGTTTTGTCTCATATTCATCTTTTAATCACATTTGCAGATGTCTTGACTAAACAATTTTGTCATTACTGTTCCAATACTTGTGGAGGGCACTGTATGTATTTATCATTATCTGTCTTCCCTGGTGGTAATCATGAATTCCTTCTGGAAGTTAGGCAGCTTGTGTTTCTCTGTCTCTTCTTCTCCATAGAAATCTACACCATCCAAGGAAACTCTCATGGCAGCCCATGTTACTTCCCCTTCCTCTACGATGGCCAGTGGTTCCACAGCTGCACCAGTGTGGGCAGGGAAGATGGCTTTCACTGGTGTGCCACTACTCATGATTACGGAAAGGACCAGCGCTGGGGCTTCTGCCCAGTAAAGAGTGAGTGAATTCGACACGTCATTCAAAGACCTGGCCTGCTAAATTCAGGACGTTCTTTTACTGTTTTAGTCTGGAAGCTGGAATGTGAGACTACTCTACATCATAGTGCACATATTCCTGCTCACTAAAATGCATCTCTCTCTCTTTCCAAAGGTACTGACTGTGAGACGTTTTGGGACATAAACCCTTTGATGGATAATTGTTACCAGTTTAACTTTCAGGCCACGCTGTCTTGGAGTGAAACACGGACCAGCTGCCAACAGCAGGGAGCGGACCTGCTCAGCATCACTAAAGTAGAGGAACAAATCTTTATCAACGGTGAGAGCCGGAGGGATGTAAACAAGTTTGAATTCATTACATTAAACATGATTTGGTTTGCAAAGGGATTAAAAAGAAAGGATTCTGGTAAATGTAGAACAAACAAGACAGAATTTGCTACTCTCATTTTTTTTTTTTAACTCAGTGGTATGTGTTTATAAAGTATGTGTGTACTGCAGGTTTGCTAACTGGGTACAGCGCCACCCTGTGGATGGGCCTGAATGATTTAGATCTCAATGGTGGCTGGCAGTGGGCTGACTCCGCCCCTCTCAAATACCTAAACTGGGAAGCAGGTGAGGCCACACCCCTTACAGCCACACCCTCATATAACCACACCCACTCCAATTTTTTAAACTTTAGCTAACTTCAACTAACGCTTCAGCTATTGAAAGCTACATAATAATTCATTCTGGACAAATGAAGCATTCTGCAGTCAATATTTTCTTATAATGGCAGCTGTTTAACTTTAATCTTTATAACTGTGGTAATTTTATGTATTTATAGTTTCTTCTCATATATAGCAATGGAATTATTTCTATTGAATCAATGACCTGCAATTTTTCTTTTTGTCATTAATTCATGTCCATTTATTTATTTACACTACTGTTCAAAAGTTTTGTATCAATAAGATTCTTTTTGGAAGAAATTCATGCTTTAAATCAGCAAACATAAATTAAATTGATTTTAAAAAGTCCCATTCGTAGGACATTTAGAATGTTGCAAAAGATTTCTATTTCAAATAAATGTTGTTCTGAAATCACAATTTCCACTGAAGACTGGAGCAATGATGCTGAAAATTCAGCTTTACCATCACAGGGATACACTGCATTTTAAAATATATTAAAAATAGAAAACAGTTCATTTAAATTGTAGTAATATTTCACAGTATTGTTGTTTTTACTGTATTTTAAATTGGTAGTGAATTTATATGTTTATTTATTTATTTGGCATTATTAGCCCTCTGATAATGACCACTGATCAAAAAATAAACCAATAATGACCAGCAGACTGTATATTTCTTTTTACATTTAAAACAGTATTACTTCATTGTTCTGCTGTCTTTAGTGTTCTTAGTAGTTTTTATTTTATTTGGCACAGAAGAGCTCATTTGCATTTCAATTAGGAAGGAGGTATTTTTATCCCATGGATGTGTGTGTGTTGAAGAAATGCCAAGCTATGATGAGGAGGAAAACTGTGGAGTGATCAGCACCGATGCTCAGGGTCGCTGGCACAACCGGGACTGTTCAGTGGCTCTGCCTTACATTTGCAAGAAACGACCCAATGCCACACTCGACCCCTTCACCACAGGTATGTGTGCAGTGTGTGTATGCACATTTGCGGTCTGTGGTTCACATATAAATGTACAGAGCAATGTTACCACTGCTTGCACTTATTCTTTAAATTATTAAATATGACTTGATTTATTTCAGGGGTAAACTTTGTTTGGCCCAGCCATGCAATTTGAGTATCTTGCCCCAAAACTGCATGTTTTTCTTCATGCCGAGAAGTTTTTAGTTTGGATTCTGCTGATCTACCTGAAAGTCTGCTTTGGTCTTGAGGATCTCACCTGTGTCTGTGTGTGAAACAGACTCCTGGGCAGATGACGGGCGGTACCAGTGTGATGTAGGCTGGCAAAACTTCCAGGCGGGCTGCTATAGGCTGAACTCAGACAACCTGGACTGGAGCTCCGCCCACAAAATGTGTCAGAAGATGGAGGCTAACCTTGTTAGCATCCACACTCTCCCAGAGCTTGAATTCATCACTAAGCATATGAAGAAAGGTATACACATGCAAATGTCCATTCATAAATATACAGAAACACATTTGCTTTATCAGTATTTTTGTCTTTCCGGTAAAAAAAAAAAAAAGAAACAGTTTTTTTTCTTTCTCGAGCATAACCCTCACTAAATTTTGTTTATTTTAAAATAATACATAAAATAATCATAATAATATAAAACCAATTTGCCAATGGGGTAAAAGTAAACTTAATTCAATATATATTCTCTGGCAACAGGTCTTAATATTTTATACAATTTGGCACAAGCTTCATGATGTTTCAGACTCTCTATTTTCCTGTGTCTTAGATATAGAGGAGTTATGGATTGGTCTACATGATACAGCTATGCAGATGAACTTTGAATGGACAGATCACACTCCAGTCATATTCACTTATTGGCATCCATTTGAACCCAACAATTTCCGAAATGTTAATGAGGATTGTGTCACCATCTGGGGGCCTGTGAGTATATATAAATATAAATATATATGCATATAAATATATAGGCCTATCAAAAGTTTGGGCTCAGTACGTTTTTTTTAATAGCACGTTTCTTCAGTAAGCCACACAATCATTAATTTACATTTATGCATTTAGCATACACTTTTATTCAAAGCAAAGAACTAAAGAGGTACAAAAGCAATTTATGGATCCAAACATATTCTTAATGTACAATGCCAGGTTTATTTGACAACTAGATTAGGAAACAAGCTATAGAAGAGGAGAAATGCAAAAATAACTTAAAAAAAAAAAAAAGATTAACATATTTATTCACAATAAATTGATCAAAAATGATAGTAAAATATTTATCATTTTAAAAATGTTAAACCGATTCTGTTCTTTTTGAACTTTCTATTCAGCAAAGAATCCTGAAATGAATGTATCACAGTTTCAACAAAAACTTTCCGCAGCACGACTGTTTTCAACGTTGATAATAATAAGAAATGTTTCTTGAGCATCAAATCATCATATTAGAATGATTTCTGAAAGATCATGTGACACTGAAGACCGGAGAAATGACTGCTGAAAATTTAGCTTTGGAATAAATACATTTAAAAAATATATTAAAATAGAAAACAGTTAAATTGTAATAATATTATACAGTATTACTGTTTCATTAAATAAACACAGATAAGCATAAGTGACATAAGCATAGCCGAACCCCAAACTTTTAAATGGTAGTGTAGAACAAACTTAATTGCCAAAAAGAAAAATATATATAGTGTGCAAAAAATATGAAAATACATTTGATAAAAATTAGTGCTGTCAAAATTAGCGCGTTTAAATTTTTTCAGTTTAACACATTGAAAATATTTAACACAATTAACGCAGGGGTGGAGCTGGCCACCCCACTCACAACTGCTGCTTCTGTCTCTTTTTTTTTATTGAATTTGAATTGCATTTATTTAGATGAAGAACATCTTTGCGACCACATTAAACGGGAGACTTTTCAGGTGCGCACTCGAACTTCACCTCAGCGCCAGGCGCTAGTCAAAAAAAAGGTACAGGTGACAAAGGAGCTTTAGTAGAAGAACTGTGATCGGATGAGATGTTGTCAGGCCATATGTCTGACAACATCTCAAATGAAACTACGAGCATGCAATGTTGTAGTTATGTCATCAATTAAGTCGTGAAGTTACCAAAAAGGCGATTAAAGCTGCCTTAAAACTGTTCATGTATGTAAGTATTTGTTATATGTGTGTCACATTTAAGAACATGTCTCTGAAATGCAGTGGTTTTCAAAACTGTCCTGGTCTGGAGCAGCCCAGCACTGCCTCCCTCATCTAACACACCCGATTCAACTCGTCATCTTATTAGCATCAACTTTAAGAGCTGAAGTGACTCAGAAAAGGTAAAGAGTTGTGCGAAAATACGATGCGTTTCAGATCCGCGTAATGTTCAGCAGCCGCAGCTCTTAAAGCAGCCAAAATAACCTAATAACCAGCTGCTGTGATGTCTGTTAATCAAAGAACAAAAAAAAGAAGAAAATCTTTTGTAGCTTTAAGGATTCATCTATATTTAATTTAGAATTTAGTGTTTGGTAACTTAATTCAATTTCTGTATATTTCCTACTTGCTGGAGGGCACAGGTAGCTAAATATGACATTTATTATAATGGGTTTATGTGAAGTTTGTTATAAGTTCACTTAAATTAGAAGTTATTTTTTGAAGGTCTAATAAATGTTAAAATTGATAGCTCTCAATTATACTGTAATGTTGAATGGCTATAGTCAATGGTTAAATATTAGGGGGAAAAAACAGTTTCATAGAGACAACAGTATCGATATCAGTGATACTCACCTTCAGTCGTAAAAAAGATGCCATTAAACAAATATTAAAAATATACTCTCTTTATGTTGTTTCTGCATTCATTTAAAGATTGAATGTGATATTATTGCAATATAAAAGTATATTTAAAAACTTTAATGTTAGGTGGGATTAATTGCGGTAAATTTCAGAAAAATGTGCTATTAAGTAGTAAATTTTTTAATCGATTGACAGCACTAATAAAAATGTATTTTGTATATAAAAATGAATATCATGGCAAAAGTATTATTTTAGGGTGAAATAGCATGTTCTTGAGAGAAAGTTATGTGAGTTTGAGTTAAAGGTACAGTGAGTTAATGCAGAATGTGTTTTGTAGCAAACCTTATCTGTATAGAACTGTCAGAATGATGTTAATGGATATGAATCTGCTTTTCTTTATAATCGTAATTAAGACAGTGATCCTAAAAGTCTAAATTTATAGCAGCTTTATAACGATAACCCCTCATTATACAGTATGTGTGTGTTTGTAGGAGGGCCGCTGGAATGATAGCCCATGTAATTACTCGCTGCCCTCAATCTGTAAGAAAGCGGCTCAGAAGGCTGACGACCGGATAGAGGACCATGGCTGCAAACGGGTAAAGCACTCTGGTTTTTCACTCTGTTGGCTTTCTCCTTATGATTCTCATTCCTCTTTATCATTCTTCCTTTTTCATTAGCTTTAATCCTCTAATTACCCTTCCTTGTTTTGTTCTCTGCAGCTCCTGCAGTTTTCTGTTTGTTACTTCTGTTTAGCTGGATTTCTCCCCCTACATACTTTCTGTGGCTCTCTTTCTCTCTGCATAAAGACTCTATTCACAGTCGCTGCTGTGTCATGCTGTTAAAACTCCAGATGTGGTCAGTAGACCCAGACCTGTCACAAGCATACAGTAAATAGAGGAGCCTGACTCACACACGCTAGTCTTCATAACTCATAACTGTTTGCTAACCGAGGACAAAATGTTTGAGGTCATGGACCAAGTTACACTAACAAGCACACAGAAACGAAATATGCATACATTGGCTACATTTCATTCTCATTGCCTAATGTCTGTCATCCCTCCATCCAATTTATCCAGGTCTACAGCAGCTCTACATGAAACCGTCTTTGTTTTAAATGAGTGTGTGCGTTATTGCTGTTACCTTGCTGTGACTCTGGTAATAGGCATCTGTTAAATAAGAGCTGTGACCCTGGATGCCATCGCCTAGGTCAGAGTTCAGAGGTTACTTGTGGATACCCTAAAGCAGGGGTGCCCAAACTCGGTCCTGGAGGGCCGGTGTCCTGCAGAGTTTAGCTCCAACCCTAATCAAACACACCTGAAGCAGCTAATCAAGGTCTTACTAGGCATACTAGAAACTTCCAGGCAGGTGTGTTGAGGCAAGCTGGAGCAAAACTCTACAGGACATCGGCCCTCCAGGACCGAGTTTGGACACCCCTGCCCTAAAGCTTGTGGAAACAGTCAGTTTGACTAAGTTACTTTTTTACCTGAAGAAAACTGTTCTCACCTATGCGAAACTAGGGTGCTGTGGGTTTCCAGGACGTTGCTGTTTGGTTGTAAAAGTGTTCTGATTTCTGATTTTCAGAGTTCTGATGTTTTTAGCATGTTGCTTGGGGGTTCTGGGTGGTTGCTGTCAGAGATAAGATTCAGGTCCTATAATGTAGGTCTATGCAGTTTTTTTTCTGTGTGCCACCAGGCAAAAAAAAAAGTAAGTCCTATAACTTATAGAAGTAATAGCACACGTTTTTTCAATAAACCACACAATTTAAGATAACACAAATTAAGGACAAGTTATGTGTCCAAATTGAATATTTAGGGTTAGGGGGTTATTGTTATCACAAATGAGACAGAATTCAAATAGGGAAAGAATAAATAGTAAAAGTAATGCACGCCTCATCAACTTCATATATGATTACAGTTCTTTCAAATACATTATATTACTTCTTTTTATTTTTCTTCACCGCAATTTTCTGTCAGTTAATTCAGCCCCATTCGAACTTCATTTTATAGATCATTTCAGCAGTTTTTGACTTACACTGATAGACTATGGAAGAAAAATGATGATAAATGTTTTGAAACAAAAAAGCATCAAAAAAGCAGTTAGCAATGTGCTAACTGAAAAAAATGATGCATCGCATTAACAGTGCTTGCATTTTAATTCAACATAGTTGTTTATTTAAGCTGTGAATATTTCAATTCAAAACATTTCACACACATTTTCAGAATTAAAAATTCAGTAATCCATATTCACTTTCCAGAGTTCACTTCCTAAATATTCATATATACTGAGCTTGGTCTTGTTTATAGCACTGTATTAGTTCATAGAGGGAAACCCCCGTATTTTAACTCAGCGTCGCACAAGCCATGATATAAAGTTAAGGAAACTAAGCAACTAAGCAAAAGATGTAAAATAGCATTAAAATCTCTTTTGGAAGAGAAAGCTGCTTTCATGTGGCTACACGGGGAAACGAGTAACGGCAAAGATGCTGAATTAAACATAAACATAGCTTTTGAGTCCTAATCAGCTTTTCCGCATATACTGTACATACTGGCCCTGATAATCATAAATTCTACTTACCACTTGCTCCATTTCTGCAAATCAGTTTTTGTGAATGAATTATTTGCTCTACCTGTTGCTTTGGTCTCCATCAACACCCGCTTGCAGCAGATGCAGATCATGCATCGGTACTTTACTGCTATTCCTACAGTACCCGGATGTGCAATGCTGAATATTCTGCCAAATTTGAACCACTGGATTTGTGGAAGCGAATTTGTACAGTGAAATAAAATGGACTGAAAATTGCCTGTCGAATATTATACGTCGTGTTTTTAAACAGATTGAATGTTTAGGAAGTGAATATGGATTATTGAATTTTTAATTATGAAAATATGTGTGAAATGTTTTGAATTGAAATATTCACAGCTTAAATAAACAACTGGTGAATTTCAGCCCCTAAAAATGCAAACCCTGAAAATACAAAGCATCAAAATTCAAGCACTGTTGATGCAATGCATTATTTTTTCAGTGCAATTCAACATGCTTTTTTGTTTCAAATACATTTGTCATCATCATTCGTCATCAAACTCATTAACATAATATTTACATATTGTATTGTGATTTTTATTTTATTTTAATTTTTTATTGAATTACACCACCATTCAAAGTTTGGGTTCAATAAGATTTGTAATACTTAAGTTAATATTTCTATTCAGCAAGTATGCATTAATTTCATCAGTAGAGATAGTAAAATATATACAGTCTAATATTATGAAAGATTTATCTAAAATAAATGCTGTTCTTTCTATTCATCAAATAATTATAAAAAAATTATTAATTTGTTTCCACAAAGCTATTAATGAGCACAATATGGAAAACATTGATGATAATAATAATTAATGTTTCTTGAGTATCAAATCAGTATATTAGAATGATTTCTGAAGGATCATGTGAGACTGAAGACTGGAGTAATGATGCTGAAAATTCAGCTTTGACATCACAGGAATAAATTACATTTTAAAATATATTAAAAATTGAAAACAGTTATAAATTGTTTAAATTGTAATAATATTGCAAAATATTTAATGTTAATGTTACTGTAGTTTTGATCAGATAAATGTAGACTTGGTGAGCAGAAGAGGCTTCAAGAACATAAAAAAAATCTCACTTTCAAACAGTTATGTAGAATGAGCTTAATTTTCAAGAAAATACTGCAAAAAATATAAAAATAATCATTACAAAAGTATAATTTTGTGAAATAGCCATGTTCTTGAGAGGTTTTGTGGTATTCATCCATATGTGTGTTTGAGTCAATGTTAGGTGTTAATGCCATCCCATCCAAAGTGCACACACACAGCAGTGAACACACACACACCATGAACACACACCCGGAGCAGTGGGCAGCCATTTTTGCTGCGGCGCCCGGGGAGCTGTTGGGGGTTCGGTGCCTTGCTCAAGGGCACCTCAGTCATGGTATTGAAGGTGGGAGAGAGCGCTGTACATTCACTCCCCCCACCTACAATCCCTGCCGGTACGAGACTCGAACCTGTAACCATTAGGCCACGACTTCCCACGACTTCAGCAGACTTTATCCCTGTAGAACTGTCAGAATGATGTTAATTAATCAAAAACCTTGAACCAATACTGTATCTACCACATTGCATTTATTATTAATCTTCCCCCTCTTTTTTTCCTGTATTTGGGTTTACAAATTTCAACAATTTTATAAGGCATTAACACTGTTCTTTTGCTGCATTGTAAGCCCCTTCTGCAGATGAAAATCTACTTTTAACAATTGAATCTTCATTTTTGGAACAGGCTGCTAAATTTGGAGTCATAGTGAGTTTGTCATTGTCAGACAATGAGAGAACACATCTGACTCTCTGTAATGTCTTAAACAGTAAAGCAGACAGCCGGCAGAGAGGTCAAGTTACTGCCTCTTGCCAAGTGCTGACGTGTAATTTAGATACATTCCTTAAAATGTGGGCGTCCGTGTGTGAATGCATGTGTGTGTGTGCATGTTTTGTTCCTGTGATTTTTTTTTTTTTTGAGAATTATTTTCAATTAATTTAATTCATATATTTAATTTTAAATATTAAATTCATATAATTAAATTAAATATTCAATTTAATTTAATTCACCTACTGACAGAACCAGCTTTTAGACCAGCATGAATTCCTTTCTAGTCCAGACTGGTTTATGCTGGTGTTCATGCATTTAATTCGAAAAATTCCAGATTATGTCCCCCATAAATGTTTCACAGTTGTCACTGTGCATTTAACATTTAGCACAAAAAAAAAGAACTAGCCTAAAAAATATGCTGAACTGTTAAGAAACATTTACCAATTCATTATTTTTCAAGCAAGAATAATACAATGCATTATAACATAGCACACTTCTTTCTCTCTCCCTCTGGTGAATCTCCTCAGGGTTGGAGATGGCACAGTCCTTCCTGTTTCAAGGTTGGAGAAGAATCTCTAACCTTTAATGATGCAAAAGGAATGTGCGCTAGCAACAATGCTACACTCGTCATTATTAATAACAGGTACTGGACACAAGCCTAGCAACATGGACTGGTGTATTCTTTGTATTCAGCTTTTCCGAAATCGATGAATTATGAAGTAACTTATGAGGTGCATATGTGCTTGTTTCCAGGTTTGAGCAGGCCTTTGTGAGCAGCCTGGTGTTTGGACGATCTGACGATCAGTTCTGGCTCGGCTTGTATAATGATAACAGCACCGGCACGTTCCGCTGGATAACGGGAGAGGAGCTCACATACACCAACTGGAACAGAGATGAGCCAGGTACAGAAACACACACAATCGTGTGTATGCCATGACTATGTGTGCACCTGAATAGTTTGTGTCTATATATCATTCCCTTTATCATTTGGTGCTAAGCCGTAAAAATGCTAAAGATGAACCTGCTTTTTGTCTTGTGGTGTTGCAGCACAGATAAAGGCAGGTTGTGTGGTGATGGTAGCGGGGCAAGCCATGGGTCTGTGGGAGGTGAAGGACTGTGCCAGCGTCCGCTCCAAATACATCTGCAAACAGAATCAGGACTCTCTCATACCCAGCCCTCCTGTGCCTCAGCCTACGCCCTCCCTAACAGGATCATGCCCATCGGGATGGAAAAGCACCAATAAGTTCCGCTACTGCTACAAGGTGTGTCTGTTTGTGTTGTGTTGAGTTGTGCACCATTCAAAATTGAAAAGCCTTCTAAATTCCAATTTGAATTGAATTTGCAGAACTGTAATTTAAAATTTAATATATATCATTGCAAAATGAAAAAATAATATTACCCAGCTCTCTATATAAAGTTGAATATATATTATATCCAGATTTATACACAGACATTCAGTAACACCCAGCTCATCAAAATAAATATATATATTATTTATATTATATCCAATTTTATCTACTTTATCCCCAGTATACAGTACTTACTATATAGCAAATCTTAAGTGCTTGATTGCTTGTATTGTTGCAAAATGTAAATTATATTATCGCCCAGCTCTAATCTGCTGAATGTGACTATAAGGCATGAAGATATTAAGATATTATAAAAATTAACATCATGACTTACTGAAAAGCTGCTTTGAAACCATGTGTATTTTTATGTTATAGTAACAATTTAAACATATGATTAAATATGGTGGAAATGTCACCTATAGAAAACTGAATTCATATATTTAATAATATAACTGTCATGTTGGTCTACTGTGTGGAGCACGGAGACGAAGGAGCGAAGAGACGAGGAGTAGAATTCAAACCAACAAGCTTTAATGCCATCCAGGGAACAAGGAAAACACACGTAACACGGGTAGACATGTACAATACCGGACGCTGAACTAAAGACAGGGAACACCATTTAAACACATGACCAGATGAGAAGAGGACGAGACACACCTGGGATCAATGGAACTAAAACGAGGAACACCTGGAATCAAATCAACATAATCAGGACAGGAACAGGAAACTAACCAAATATGGGCATAGGAAGGTACATAGAAGCAAGACACACACAAAACAAAGTCTGACATAACTCCCCCCTCCCGGAAGGCGCGTCCTCGTGCCACACAACATCAAACGGGAGGGGGGGGTGGGCGCTCTGCAGGTCCCTCAGGACAGACACGGGACGGCGGGCCTCCAGAGCGGTACCCGTTTGCGGCGCCATGGCGGATCAGGCAGCTTGGGGAGCCATGGCGGATCAGGAGACTCGGTAGGCCATGGTGGATCAGGAGACTCGGGAGGCCATGGCGGAGCCGGGAGCTCAGGAGGCCATGGCGGAGCAAGCTCTGGAGGAGCAGGCACAGCAAGGCGCTTTCGAGGAGCTGGCACTGGGGTGAGCTCTGGGGCTGGAGCTGACACGGGAGAGAGCTCTGGGGCTGGAGCCGACACGGGAGCGAGCTCTGGGGCTGGCGGGCTTGTCTTCGGCACGGCCGACGGGCGTGACTTAGGAACCGCCGGCGAGCTTGCTACAGGAGCAACCGGCGGGCTTGCCACAGGAGCCACCAGCGGGCTTGTCTTCGGCGTGGCCGGCGGGCATGACAATGGCACGGCCGGCACGCTGAACTTCGGAGCGGCCGGTGAACTTGACGATGCCGTGGCCGGTGGGCTGGTTCTGGCTTGGGGCAGGACGCTCTCCAGACACCGGAGGATTCCTTCCCTCCAGCTTAGTCCCGTGGTGTCTGGGAGGTCCACGGGGCGATGGTAGTTGGCCCCGTGGCAGAACAGTGAGTTGAGGGTGGAGTCAACTAAGGCCGTAGCGAGCCTGCAGAACTCCCAGGAATACTCAACGAAGGGGAGATCCAGGCGAGCTAGGGCGGCGAACCGAGCGGCAATTTCCATGCCGCGGGGAAAACAGGGGAAACAAAAAACTTTCACAAAAGGCGGAAAACAAACACGGGGGAATGATGCCGCTTACTTCTTTGTTG